TTTTGCGGAACCAGGGATTGAACTCAGGCCCTTGCGCTTGCCAGGGAAGCGCTTATTCCACTGAGCCATCTCCCTGGCACCTGGTTTTCTAAATAGGCATCAATCACCTTGAAAGAGCCACGGTTGCTAACCCATCCCCCAACAGGAAGAGCCCCTGTTCCTTATTCATGCCTGCTTCCCCATTTGATGGCAACTTTACCTGAGCAATTGTACTTGTACTCTTACTGGTTGGCCGTAGTTTTGTCCCGCCTCATGTGCGAGTTCCCCTGTTCTCCACTTGCTCTGGTTCCCCTTCTGTCCCTTTGAGGGACAGGGACTTTCTTTCCCCCAATAAACATATTCTGCTCTTAACCTCAATCCATTCTTTGATTTTAGAGAATAGGAACTCAACCCAAGTATCTTTCGGGCTGGGAGTTTCACTCCTCTCTCCACCCTGCACACTGAGGCGCTTTCTTAACACATGGGAGCTCTGCGAAGTGTTCTAGCTATCTGTGAGCAGACCTAAATTACCCTACAGACCGTGAGCATCTGAAGAATCAAGTGCAGACGGGAGTCTTTGGCACACTCAAACACCGCTGGGGCGCCGCGGACGGCTGAAGGGTATCCACTTTAACCCCCCTGAGACTGAATCTTCTAGGAAAGCTGGAGACCGGGCACTTCCCTCGTCCACAGCCTGCCCCTTTTTAAGCTGTGATGTCCCCTCTTTATTACAAAGGTCTGCTCAATCCTCTCACAGCGTGCAAATACCACGTGCAGGCTCGTGTGTGCCTCCGTGTGCGCGCACATGAGGTGGGAACCAACCTCGGTGCCCGGGTTTGGATGGAGAAAACGCGTGGGCGTGAGCGGGCTGGTGACATCCAAGTCTTTCGAATGTTTGGCATCATCTCGCAGACGGGGCTTTCGGGGTGTTCCGAGTGGACACGGAGGACAGAGGTGAGGGATTTCTTTTTTTCTTTTTTAAGAGCGTGCGCATTTACCAAACAAATTGATCTTCTACTTGGTGAATTAAATATGAGCCAGCTGAGGACAATTTCAGGTCCCGGCGCAGAGGGCGGGAGTCTGGGGCTGGTTTCGGGGTGGCGAAGCAACAGGGCTCGGGCAGGGGACGCGCCCAGCCCACTTGGCGGGCTTTGTGTTCGGCTGCAGCTCCGGCCCAGACCCCGGACGCGCTCGGGGGGACGCACCGAGGCGATGCGCCCCCAGGCCCTCGGGAGAGGGGACGGCGGCGACTCGGCCACCCGGGTCTGAGCTCCCCTCCCTGTGCTGCTAAATCGCAGCTTTAAAAGGAAGTGACATGGGTGGGGAGAGACGTCAGCCGAGGACCACTGTTTTTTCTTCCCGTAGGGTCCACCCCTTGGGTGGAGTCTCGCTTTTCTTTCCAGCGTTGGCTGACTTACAGCTCGCATAAAAGTAGTGGCAGTTTCTGAACCTCAGCCGGCTCTCGCTCAGTGTCTGGCTCCCAAGTCCATGTGCCGAGGGCTGCCAGGAAAGAGGTAGGTGCCTCGGTGCCGTCTCCAGGCACCTTCCCGGGGTGTGGCCGGCTCGGCTTCCTCCCGCTCCGCCCGCGTCTCGCTCGGACCTGCGGGGTGGGCGCCGGGAGGGGCGCGCGGGGGGCGCAGGCCCGGTGGCTTTGCGGCCACCGAGGGCTCTTTGCTTTGTGCGGCTGCTGGGTGTCCTTTCGGGGCTGCAGGCAGCTTCGGCTCTTGCCCGTCCACCCCTCCTCGAATTCTCTGCCATAGACCAAGCTGGGGCGAAGGTTCGTGGTCCATATCGCTCTCTTTTGTGTCTTGTGTCGTGCAACACGTTTTTTCGTCCCCTGGGGTTTCTATGGCAACCACCAAAAAATACTACCCCAAAGGGATCCCAGATCTAAATTGGATTATTTGTATTTCCTTCCTGAGCCTGCTGTGGTTTGGGCTTACCGGGCTCTGGAGCTGCTCGGCGGCTACCCCTCCTCACTTTCATTTTGGTTTTTCCCTATCGCAGGAGGGCTGGGGGAGGGGAGTTGTCAAGGAAACGGGCATTTGTAATTGCCTCTTTATTTACTTAATTTTGGCCTACAAATTTCTCCATCCAGGATTTTTTTTTTTTAAAGTACTTTGATATTTTTGAAAGTCTTCAGTGTCTTCCCCCCCCCTTAAAAAATTTAAATACTTCTCAAGATACGGTACTCTGATCAAGCTAAGAGGGGAAGAACACTTAATTCGTGAGTGAGCCTTGAAATAAAGTTGTAGAGTGCTTGACAATTCGCCCTGATAAATATGTTATCAGCTGCCCGAGTTGGTCTACAAGTCTAACTACTTGTAAGATTGGTCTTTGCTCTGATCTAAACTTAACTTAGCACTACATGGAAGTTCAGTTAGCGTGACTGAGTAACAGATGGTAACTACCCAGGAGGAGTCTGGCTCATGTTTTGTGTATTACTCTTGTACCGCCAACACCACTGGTCATGGTGAAGGCCAGAGTTGTGGATTTTCTCTTCTTCGCAGAAACTGCGAAACGTTTTGCCCATCTGTGGTTCATCCCCAGCTAAGAAGTAAGTCTATCTACAGAGAAGGGAGAAAGTGTGTGCCTGTGTTAGTGCGGGCGGATGGGCTTGGGGTGTACCGTGTGCAGGGGCAAGGGAGTCTGGGAGGACTCGCGCATCAGCACGAATTGCACGTTAAGAATGTTGAGTGTTGTTCATGCTCTCTGTGAGGAGAGAAAGCCCAGATTTTCAGGAGAAAAAGTATGAAACATAAGAGAAAATGATCATGTAGTAATAAGCAGAAAACATAATGAGAATACATCTCTGAGAAAAGTGTAGTCCAAATGGGTCTATTAACAGGTGTCAGTTGCCACTTCAGTTGGTACTTTCGGTCAGTACATCTTAGGAAATGTTGCATAATGGACGCAGCTCTATTGATGGGCTTCCCCGATCGCCAAAATAACCTCTTTAATAGAGATCGGTTCTAATCCCAACTTTAGTTCCTAAAATCATTCACAAAAAGATTATGAAGAGGGGCCAGGGAGATGGCTCAGTGGAATAAGCACTTCCCTGGCAAGCGCAAGGGGTCTGAGTTCAATCCCCGGTTCCACCAAAAAAAAAAAAAAAAAAAAAAAAAAGATTATGAAGGTCGTGTAGTCTTCACAATACCTCCTGGCAATTAAAGCAAAAGCAATGTGCATAACCCTGCATGTGGCAGCAGGAAGAAGGGGTGGCTGTAGTGAGGTCCTCTGTGCCCCATCCTTATCTAATATGCTGCCATCTGTGTCTTATAAAACTCGTTACAGGGCCAGAGGTCTTCACCATTTCTGATACCAAAGTTATCAAAGAATAGGGTTGAACGGCACAGCACAAAACTGGTGCTGAAAGGAGTCAAAAGCCTGAAAGCTGCCGAAGGCTGTGGAGCAGACAAGTACAGTACTGTCAGCAAGCGCATGATATCTGCTTTGATAAGCACAAGCTAATACATGCAGATGTATGAGTTGGAGAGTAGGTTTCTGAGGCTCGGAGAGTTCTGGAAAGCAGTTATGCTGTCTATTTTTCCAGCCTGGAATGGATCTCGAGGACATAGACTGACCACATGACTTTTCAAGGCAAGTTGACAGTGGGGAAGTCAAAGTCTGCTTTCTGAGCACTCTTGAGTTACCAGACTTGGGAGTTTCTTAGCAAAAAAAAAATCAATGGGATGGAATTCAAAGGAAAAGTAGCAAGAATCACAGTGAAAACCAATCTTTGTGACACTCAGATAGAGATTGATAGCCCTGATCGGGAGAAGGTAAAGGACTCTACGGATGTGAATCAAGGTCCCTGAAAGAGGCTGGCTGGCATACTGCTAAGGAAATCATCCTGGGGAGTGCTGGCCTTTACCGCGTCGGCTGTCACTGCAGGGCGTGGACCTGGGTGCTGCAGCTGGTGAGGACAGCATAAGGAGTGGTCTCTTCTCAAGTTTGACATCCATTCACTGGTGGTGTCATGTAGGTGACACATAGCCCCAGAGAAGGAGACTAGAGCAGGCAGCCACTGCAATTGGCAAGAAGGTGATAGATTCCCCTGGAGTGGACATGGGTGGTAGGAGTGGGTCCCAGCTCCCAATTCTTGTTCCTGGCAGGGAGAAGCTGATCTTTAGTGGGGAAATGGAACAGGTGCTCTGGGCTGGCTGAACGAACAAGAAGTACATATGGATTCAGAGCCTGAGGTTTTCTTTTAAATGAAGACAAGAAAGACTGTTTTTTGTTTTTGTTTTTTGGCAGAACAGGGGATTGAACTCAGACTCTTGCACTTGCCAGGGAAGCACTTATTCTACTGAGCCATCTCCCCAGCCCCCATGAAAGACTGTTAGAATAAAGCCTTTGAATAAGGCAGAATCCTTCCTATAGATAAATATGCTCATATATAATCATAATCATATATATACTTGAGTTCAAACACTGAAGTCCTGACTTAGACTTTAAACAAATCAGAAATTTTAGGAGAGGAAACCCCAAATCTGCCGTAATAGAAGCTTAATGCTTCCTACCAATGCTCTGAATTTCATTGTGCTCCAGTGAGCATTTTGAGTAACCATGGTACATTGTGTTCTACCTGCTATAGGCTGAAAAGGAGGTCTGCTGGATAAGGGAACAAACAGCATTCCCATTTCTGAGTAGTACCTGATGCCCACCAGCGACACACACGCACGTGATCACGCCTGGCTTGGTCTGCGTTTAGCATTGCCCCAATCTGGACAACTCTGATTCAACAGCGTTTGTCAAGACAGATTCATTTCAAAAAGCTGGCGCCAAAACTGAAAATAATAGAGAGTCCATGGTCATCCAAGGCTGTGGGGGAGAGGTTGAGGCATGAATTCTTGGAACAAATATTTATTGTGTATCCATTATGTATCAGGTGCTGTGGATACAGTTGTGAGTGAACGAAGGTAGGGTTTAAATAATTACAATTTTATATTATACAGTGGTTTTAGAGGAGATTCTGACTATCTGATTTCTGGTTTTTGCAGATGACAGAGTCAAAGGAATTTTTTGTTTGAGACAAGGTCTTGCTCTATAACCTGGGCTGGCCCCAAACTCACAGCAATCCTCCTGCCTCGGTCTGCCAAGTGCTGGGATTATGGGGCTGTGCCACCATACCCAGCCAAGAAATACATTAAAATAAGATCAGTTTGTGTTGAACATTATCATAGAATGTTCTATTCACTTTTCCAAAACACACTCTTGCTTCTCAAGATTTCCTGCCCATTTTGTCTCTCTTTGGTTCCTCCAAGCTAATTTATCCTCCTCCTCCTCCTCCTCTTCCTCCTCCTCCTCCTCCTCCTCCTACTCTTCTTCTTCTTCTTCTTCTTCTTCTTCTTCTTCTTC